ACGCCTTTGCCACGAGTATCCGACTCCAAATGGCCCAAATCTATTCAATACATTTACATATCATAAATAACATCGCAAACAACTGGTTTTGCTATTTAATTCAAAGCTACGGCGTGAAATTAGGTGAAATGACCAAAATTCCCTTCAGGCCAACGCCTCAAAATCGAATAATTTTCACATTTTCAGAATCCTCATACTCTCACGAGTCTAACCATATAAAAATCTCCCAAATCGGAGGTCAAATGCTCACTCAAAACTCAATGGTTTAGCCTATGAAGTTTTGCTCAATTTCTTCCAATTTTTGATCCCAAATTCGAATTTAAAGGATGGATTTAACTACAAAATGATGAAATATAACTAGAAGGGATTAAAGAAACGTTACCCAATAGTCTTCTCTTCAAAACCCTCTGAAAATCGCCCTTGCCCGAGCTCAATTTGGTTTTTCTAACTTATGAATCAAACCCTCGAATTTTCTATATCAGAACAGGCATTTCCGCTTCTGCGGACAAGGGACCGCTTCTGCTGTCCCGCTTATGCGGAAAATGAGTCGCTTCTGCGACTTTCACTAAAGAGCCAATGTCCGCTTCTGCGGACCATTAACCGCTTATGCGGTTCCAATAAAAGTCCAAGTTTCCGCATCTCTGGTTCTCTTTCTCGCAGATGCGAGGCCGCTCCTGCGGAATTTCCTCCGCAGAAGCGAAAATACCAGAAGACAGAAAAACCAGCTGCTGCAACACTTCAAAAATTCTTTCGTTAACCACCCGAAATCATCCCGAGGCCCCCGGGATCTCAACCAAAAGAACCAATAGCACCTAATACCTCATTCAAACTTGTACCAACCCTTAAACCACCTAAAACAACGTCGGAAAGTCGAATTAATAAATGATTTGAGCCTAAGAACTTCAAATTCCATAAAAATACATTTTCGATCAAAAACCTAACCAAAACACGTCCGAAGGACCTGAAATTTTGCACACACATCCCAAATGACACGACGGAGCTACTGTAACTTCCGGAATTCCATTCCGACCCTCGGATCAAAAATTTACTATCGGACCGGAAACTTCAAAAAATTCAACCTTCGGCATTTCAAGCCTAAATGAGCTACGGACTTCCAAAATACATTCCGAACACGCTCCCAACCCCGAAATCACCTAACGGAGGTAACGGAACCATTGGATTTTCATTACGAGGTCGTCTTCACACTGTTCCGACTACGGACCATTTTTCAACACTTAAGCTCTCATTTAGGGACTAAGTGTCCCAAAACTCTCCGAAACTCAACTACGAACGTCCCGGCAAGCCAAAATAGCATAAATGAACTTAGGGGAAGCAGTTAATAGGGGATCGGGGCATTAATTCTTAAGACGACCGGCCGGGTCGTCACACAAAGTCTCAAGCTCAATCTCCATATTCACCTCAAGCTCAAACTCAAAATTTCACAAAAATAAGCTGTTGCCCCAGCTATAATATACAGCCCAGGCTGCTTCAGCAGCTTGTACAACGGTCTTCGCATGTTGTACTTCGTAATTCAAGTTTTTTTGTTGGGCACCCTTCAGTAAAATGTTCATAACTGTTTGCGAAGATGTCGAAGTGATGAATGGTTTGAACTTGAAGAAACTAAACTCAAAGACTTTTGATTAGATAGAAGGTATACCATACAACTCCTTAAAGACCGTGAGTTATATTCGTTTATATTTAAGCCTTATGTGCGTTCGTTTAAAACTTTAGTCCCTCGGATATTTTCCAGCTTGACTTTTCTCAAAGCTCTCATTAGATTATATATCACTTTAAATACACCTTGTGCACTTACTATCATGTTCAAGAGATATTTTTCATATTATTAATCAATATTCATATACAAATTAATGTAATTAGCACACGTCTAACTTTTTAATGGCCTTTAGACGTTTTAAACATATTCCAGTGCTACAATTTAGTATTACATATGTGTCGATGTGTATGCTCTATGTATGCCTTTTATATCTATGTATATACGTGTGTGTGATATATGTTAGATACATGTGTCGCAAAAAAAAAAATTAAACTCGATTTTAACTATAAATTTAACTCCAACCTAATCCAAATCATTTCCAATCTTCCCAAATTTTGTATATTGTCTCATTGATAATAGGTGAATTTGACTATAATTACACCCTAAATAATCACCTTCTTGTGTAGTTTTAATGCTAAAAGTGATGACAAAATGCTCTTATTAGTGCTTTTCATGATTTGTAGGTGATATATGTATAAAGACGGCTAAGGAGCAGTTTTGGAGTCAAAAGTGATGAAAAAGAGGCCAACTGTGAAATTTCCTAAGTGACCCGTGCAAAAACAGGCCGAAGATTCAGAGAACTGGATCCACCGCGGTTTCACCGCGACCGCGGCAGAACCGCGGTGGGAAGCAGCTGCAGAAGTTCAGAGATTCCGCGAGGGTGTTTGGCCGCGGTTCTACCGCGACCGCGGCAGAACCGCGGCAGGCGCAGAAACTTCAGGGACCAAAGTGTCAATTACGGGATTTTTAGACCTAAACCCTATTTAAAACATTAGACTTCGCCCAAGAGAGACATGTATTGATTTTTTAGGTTCTTAGCAAGGAAAAAGATTGTGAGAAAATACTCTAAACATCTTTCTTCTTTTCTTTTGATTTTATGATGAATTCAAGCTTAGTTTATTCTCCCATATCTATGAGTAGCTAAAATTCCTTGTCTAAGGCGTTGATGGAACCTATTGGGTGATGAACTTCTTGTTTATGTGAATACAAATTGCTAGTTTAATCTTTATTTGTTCAACTTCGTGTTCGTTGTAGTTAATTGACAGGATCCTCAATTAGCTGTGCCTATTTAGTGTGCATAACTTGGAAAAGAGTGCATATTTAGGGTATTGTTGAATAACACCACTCCTAGATTATTAGAGGAATCTATAATTGCGGGTTTAAAGGCGAGATTAGGAATAACGAAGCCTTGGGTGCAATCTAAATTGAATTGTGCTAAATAAAGTAAATTACTGTGATTACTCGGGAGAGATTTACGGTAAGATCAGCATTCATGATTGATAGAGATGTGTTGGTAAATTTGTATGAGCATAAACAGAAGGGATTCCATCAATAGGGAAAATCATTGCCTTAGCATTTTTCTCATAATTGTTTACAACCTTATTAGTTTAGTTTACAGCTATTTAGTTACTTGCAAGCTAGTTGTTAAAGAACACTCAACTGAGATTTGAATATTTGGGAAGCTGGTTCTGAAGACTTAGTGGGTCTGAAGATAGCAGTTGATAGGTTAACTCTCTGTGGATTCGACCCTGGGCGTAATACTCGGGTTATATTTGCAACGTCCGCAGAGTCCTTTTTATAAGGCATAGTTGGGCGTGATCAAATTTTGGCGCCGTTGCCGGGGAGTTAACGGAATTATCAATTGCCATTGACAGAAATACAAAGATTCTTGTTGTAGTCAGTTTTCTCTCTACCAACTTTTTCATTGAAAATTTGACGGTTGTGATCTGGGTGCACAGGTGCATGCCTAGAAATTCTACGAGGACTGGAGAACTGCTTGAAGGACTCTCGGACCCCGAGAAGACATTCCGGGCATTGAATCGTGCGAACAAAAGACTTCAACAATCACAACAAATACACCAACTCGAAATTGACATGGGCGACATAAACGACCCCAACGTGAACGTCAGGAATGAGCAATTGGCACCTCCTGTGCCTGAGGGTGCACTTTATGACTGGGCACAACCCACAGCTGACAATCTGGCCACTGCCATTATTGTGCCTGCAATACAAGCTGAATCGTTCCAGATCACAAATAACATGCTACACTTGTTGCAGAACAAGGGACTTTTTTCTGGGACACAAACAGAAGACCCGCAGCAACACTTAAAGAACTTCCTGTCTATTTGCAAAACTCAAAGGCAACCGAACGTGACTCCGGAAGCAATCAGATTATTATTGTTTTCATTCTCGGTGACAGGAGCTGCTCAGGTTTGGCTAAACTCGCTTCCCATAAACTCTATAGCAACTTGGGATGAGTTGGTCAAGCAATTTCACAACAAGTTCCATCCTCCCAACAAGACCGCTCAACAAATTGATGAGATTGTGAGTTTCAAACAGAAACCAATGGAGACACTACACGAGACATGGGGCAGGTTTAAAGGAATGTTGGTTATGTGTCCCCACCATGGTGTTCCAGAGCAGATGTTGGGACAACGATTTTACATGGGACTGTCAGACAGCTTGAAGAATATAGTTGATGCCTCGGCTGGTGGGGAATTCTTGAGCAAGACTTGGAGAGAAGGTCAGAATTTGCTCGACAAGATGGCGCAGAATTCAGGTTGAACATCTAGGAATGCACCTATCACTCCAGTGGTGCACTTAGTGCCTCTTGATCCTTCTAATACAATGGCTGAAATACATGATCATCATCACCAGCACCCTGAAGATATGAACTATGTGGCTAATTATCGGGGTCAGAGGCAAGGTAATCAGAACTGGGGTCAGCAGACTCAGCAGCAGTACAGGCCACCGCAGCCACAGTATAACGCCGGAAACATGGGAGGCATGAGACCCCCCAACAACATGGCACCGTATCCTAGACCACAAGGGTACAAAAATCAGCAGCAAGGGTACCATCCACCTCAGCAACAGCAGGGTGGAAGACAGGAAGACGGGTTTGCAAGGCTTGAAGCAATGATGCAGCAGGTTATTGGGTCCAACGCTAAAATAAATGAAAGGGTGGATGCACATGATGCAGCTATCAAGAATATTGAGGTACAAGTGGGCCAGATTTTAATGTCACTTAACAATCGTCCTCAAGGGACATTACCTGCAGATACCCAAATCAATCCAAAAGATCAAGGCCCAAAATAGCTGATGGCGGTGAGTCTACGTAATGGTAGGGATCTAGATGTTGAGCAAGAGAGAGCTCGAGAAAACATACAGGCTGAGACACTAATTCCAGTGCCCATTGAGCTGGATGACTCTACGGGATTGACCGAGGTTACAGTTCAGCCTGCTCCTGAAGAAACGAATATGCAGCACGAGACTGAGACAGTAGTTGAGCCAGTAATTGAGACAGCAGCGGAACCAATAGTTGAGACAGTAGCTGAGAAGGAGAAACCTCACGTGATTGGGAAGAAGAGACCTCCTGCACCATTCCCGCAAAGGTTGGCCAAGCATCAAAAGGAGGAGCAGTACAAAAAGTTCCTAGAGATGCTCAAACAAATCCAGATAAACATTCCACTGATTGAAGCTCTAAAGGAGATGCCAGGATATGCTAAAATGATGAAGGACTTAATGTCTCGGAAGTTTGACTTTCAAGACTTGTCGACGGTGACCCTTACTCAGACATGTAGTGCAGTGGTATCTAGACCTGTTGCTGAAAAGCTATCTGATCCCGGTAGTTTTACAATTCCATGCACCATTGGGAACTATGCCTTTGCTAAGGCACTTTGTGATTTAGGGGCCAGCATTAATCTCATGCCCCTGGTCATTTAGAGGTTAGGCATTGGCAGAGCTCGACCTACTTCTATGTTATTGCAGCTGGCTGACAGGACTGTTAAGCGTCCATTTGGGATTCTTGATGATGTGCTTATTCAGGTGGGGAAATTCGTGTTCCCTGCAGATTTTGTAATCTTGGATTGCAAAGTGGATGAAGAAATTCCCATAATTCTAGGACGACCCTTCTTGGCCACGGGGAGAGCTTTGATCGATTGCGAGACCGGGGAGCTTAAGATGAGGCTCAATGATGAGGAAATTATATTCAATGTGCAGAAATCGATGAGGCGACCAAGTGAGTTCGCAAATTGTTCCCTTATTGATGCAATAG